CGAGAGCAACTTGCTGCAGCGATCTCTCCAGACCCTAATTATTAAAATTTTAGAATTCCTAAACAATATATTCTATCCATAATAAGCAATACAAAACACATTGTCTAGTATTGCCTTTTTGGCAGGTATGAGTGGTGGTGGGACTGGTCTCGAAATATCGAAGGTAACGAAAGTAGAGAAATAATATTGTACAAAGTGTCTGCCACACAGGCAGGGGTAGGTGTGGATGGGGGGGGGGGTGAGTTACTGGGGATTTTGGTGGTGGAAAACGTGCACTGGTGAAGGGATGGGTGTTCGATGATTGTATGACTGAAGCTCAAACATGAAAGCTTTGTTACTATACCTCACGGTGAATCAATATAAAGGGGAGAAAAAAAAATACTGAAACTATTATATAAAGACCAGTACCTGTGGCTATATTTCACTATGCTATTATTCAAATTTTATCTAATGATTTAATATTAACTTTAATAAATGATTATCATTAAAAAAAATCAGAACTTGCAGGCCAGAGCAGTAGTACAGGACATAGGGTGCAAATAAGCAACCCAGATGGTCTCTCCAACCTACCAGGAGTGAACCCTAAGCCCTGAGAATAACCAGGAGTGGCCCAAACCCCATCCACCCAAAAAAAAAACTTAAAAGAATGTGTCTGTCTAAACTTATCAATAGAAAACGTTAATCTTCACTATAAATAAAACTCAGCATAAAAAAATATGGTCAACACACCCTTAAGAATAAAAGATACACATTGACCACTAGAGGCCACCCAAGTTTCATTACAACAAAATGTTGAGGCTCAGAGCAGCCTCTTGTCCCATCCATGTTCAATTCCCAGCAGCTAATAAGTTCCCTCAGCCTTGACAAAAGTGCAGAGCCAGGAGTGAGCCCTGAGCACTGTTCATGAGGCCCCCTCTACCCCTCCACCACTCCCCCAAATGATATAATTCTACTCCAGGTCAAAGAGAAGCAGCAGGAGTTAATTTCACCTGCATGCAGCCAACTCCAGCTCAACTCCCAGCACCACAGGGTTCCCCTCAGCCCAAGTTTACCTCAATAATTTAAAAATAATTTTTAATTAATTTTTTATTTTTGGTATTGGGCCACAGCCAGCAGTGCTCAGAGGTTACTCCTGACTCTGCACTCAGGAATCTCTCCTGGAGGGACTCAAAGGACTAAATGGAATGCCAAAGATCAAACCCAGGTAGGCTGCATGAAAGGCAAACATCTTATCCACTTATGTACTCTTTTGACCCTCAATTTAAGAAAATATTTAAAGATGGGTCCGGAGAGATATTACAAGAGAAAAGGTGCTTACCTTGCAGATGGCCAACTAGGGTTCAACTCCCAGCATGCCATATGGTCTCCAAGTTCTGCCATGAGTGATTCCTGAGTGCAGAGCCAGGAATAACCCTGAGCATCACCAGGTATGGACCCCCCACCAGAAGAAAATTTAAAGAGATAGTTCATCCTAATTTTGCTGATTGCAAGAATCACATCCTTACCTCTGTAAGGACTGTTTCATATATTTAAGATTGTTGGTTTTTAACTAAAATATTAGGAATACTGGCTTTAGAATATCTTACTTTTTTTAAAAAAATCTGTTATTCATAGTCTGGCAATTCCTATATTTGTAAAAATAAGGTCCCATACTCAAAAAAGTAATCCTAAAATCAAGGTAACAATCAACTCATCAGAAATATTAAAACTTAATTCATAAATATAGATGTAGTATTTTTTTTAAGTTTTCCAAAACACATAATCTACCATGAGCAAGTTTAGGTGATATGATTAACAAAACACATAATTTATGCTGAAAGTTGAAAATCTATGAAATATGCTTACTTTTTATTAAGGGCAAAGGAGGCTTATGTAAATTTTATCAAGTATATAGCTCTACAAACCACTTTATATGAAATTCAAAGGCTCTAGTGGGTCTGTTAGATGAGGGTCACCTCATTGGTAAAAGATTTTGTGAAGTATCTTAGCAGCAAATTCCAGAAATAAGACTATTAACAGGTCACCCTAATCTGCATGGCTGTTGGGAAACCACAAAATATTTCTACTTTAACTGACCCATAATTTGTAGATGCTAAAAATGTCAGTGAAATATGAAGCTTTGATGAAAATTAAGCAACTGAAAATAAAGCAGAATAAAAACAAACTAAAATTATCTGGAATATATATTACCATGGGCTGGAACGATAGCACAGTGGTAGGGCGTTTGCCTTGCACGCAGCCAACATGGCCGAGCCGAGTTTGATTCCTCCTCCCCTCTCGGAGAGCCCGGCAAGCTACCGAGAGTATCTTGCCCGCACGGCAGAGCCTGGCAAGCTCCCCGTGACGTATTCGATATGCCAAACACAGTAACAAGAAGTCTCTCGATGGAGACGTTACTGGGCCCGCTCGAGCAAATCGATGATCAACGGGAGGGCCTTTACCTTTACCTTTATATATTACCATAACATAAGGAGATCAATAAAATTCATTTGTAAAGAGCAAAACATACACAAATGAATCAAACAACTAAAATCCTAAAATGCCTCAACAAGTGGAATTAAGAGGTTGGGGAGAGCCTAAGGGCAAGAGTACATGCTTTGTATGCCAGAACTTCAGGTTCAACCCCCTACATCTCATGGTTCTCCAACTCCCCCACCCCCACCACAGCAGCATGTCACAACCTCCAAAAAAGGAACAAATGCAAGAACTTCAAAAAAAATAAATAAATGTAAGTTTATCTGATAGGAAGTTGTTATTTAATGTATAGGGAGTTTTAGTTTAGGAAGATAAAAATACTCTGTAGGTAAATGGTGGTAATGGCTGCTCATTAACATAAAAACAATTATTTACCTTAAATGTTATGTTTGAGTACCTTGGCATCAATAAAAAAATTTTAGAGGTCAGAGAAATAGTAGAAAGGTTAAGGTGCTTGCTTTGCACATGATTGACCCTAGCTACACGCCCTAGCACTGCCACTAGATATGGGTCACCCCAAGAGAAATTCGAGTATCACTGGGTGTGGTCTTAAAAAAAAAATTTAATGTGAATTTATCTGGCTCACATCCACGAAATTGTATTGGATATTAACAATCACTTTTGTAGATTTAAAAACCTGCATATGTGGCTGGAGCGATAGCACACTGGGTAGGGCATTTGCCTTGCTCACAGAGGACCCAGGTTCAATTCCCAGCATCCCATATGGTCCCCTGAGCACCGCCAGGAGTAACTCCTTAGTGCAGAGCCAGGAGTAACACCTGTGCACCACCAGGTGTGACCCAAAAAGCAAAATAAATAAATAATAAAAAACTGCATAGAACTTAATTAGTACTAGAAATAAATAGCATCCATAAAACTGCTAAAGTTACCATTTCAATTACCAGTTAATCCAATAACAACTTATATATCAGACTCCATAGTTTTTGATAATAACCAAATTGAGCAAAATTCACCATATAGTATACAAAAGTATAGAAACCAGTTTCAGTTAAAAATATTAGTAATTAAAGAAAATGCATCCATACTTCAAAAAGCTTTTCTTTAAGATGCTGGGGTCAGAGAAATGGTACAGGGTACAGATGTAAGGCACTTGCCTTCACATAGCCAAGACAAGTTCACTCCCCAGCAACCCATATGGACTCAAAATCCACCGGAGTGATCTCTGAGGACAGAGCCAGGAGTAAGCCCTGAGCACCATCGGGTGTGGCCCAACGCCCCAAAGAAATTTTAATAAAAAACAAGATGTTACTTTTAAATTGTAATTACCGTATATAGTAATTTATAAAATAAAATTAATATTACAAATAACAATTGTTAAAAATGCATGCCTATATAGTATTTACAGACTAAACTATAAAGAAATCTCCTGTAGGCAATTATTCCATTTTTAAAATTATCTCTTACCAGTGAATATATCAAAATATTATATCTGTAATGCCTTACAGATATTACTGTTACATCTTTACAGAATAGGCAGGTATTTCATTGTTAAATGTACTCTTACTGTTCTCACAAAACAGAATAATTTATTATCTAAATTATGACAAAATTCCAGAAAAAATATATTAAAAGGTAAAACATAAGACAATGACTAAACTAGTTAAGTGTATCAAAATAATAAACATCCAAGAGTATTGTATCCACGATAATCTAAATAATATTGGTGAGGCAAAAATTAGTAAACTTTCTCTATCCTTAAGTTTTCCATCTATTATAAAAAGTAGAAATGTAAACAGAAAATTCCAAATGCAACCTTGTATATAAGGAAAAATAAAAGACATAGTTTGATGATTACATATTAAAGATACTGGACTGATTTTTTTTTTAAATAAAGGGCCTTAATTGGATCTTAAATTAAGGCAACGAAAAAGTAAGCTATTAGAGAAGAAAGATATAATGATGACAGTACTGGAGAGTAATCAAATAAGATTCTTTGGTAAAATCTCCTTAATGTCAAGTAGCATCTTGTAATTTTTAAGCAATTTTATTCGTTTGGACTTTGGGTTTGGTGGCACATCCCAGTAGTGTGGGCTTACTCCTGGTTCGCATGCAGAAATCACTCTTGATAGGCATAGGATCATCTGGGGTGCCAGGGATGGAACCCAGGTCAGTTGCATGCAAAACAAATACCCTATCTGTTGTACTATCTCTCCAAGCCCTCTAAGGATTTTTAAATAGCTGAGTACAATAGCCTTTCAGTAGCTAGATAACCAATTGTGAAGAGAAAGGTCATATTTGACCTCATACTGTATTTGATCAATAGCCTTTGCACTAGTAATGCCCCACCTAGAATACGTTTGTCCAGATTATCCTCATGATTAATTTCTTCACCTTTCCATGTCATTTCCTATTTACCTTCTACATCCCCCAATCTTGTTATCCTAATCAAACAGCTTTGCTAAAGCCCATGTTAAAATACAAAACTTCTCTCATCCTTAAGAAATCTGTTTCATGATCGATAGATGGCTCAAAGGGCTGGAGTATATGCTTTGCATCAAGAGTACCTGAATTTAATCCCCATCACAAAATCCCCGGATAACCACTGAGAGTGGCCCCATCCCAGGACCACATCAGGAGGAGCCCTGAGCACTGCTGAATATGGCCCTAAAACAAAACAAAAACAAACAAACAAAAAAGAGACCTGTTATAAACACAGGAGAACAAAAATGCTTTTCTCCTGAAGAAAAAAAATGTTATAGTATTAAGGAATCTCTATGCTTTTTACTGGTTAGTACCAAACAGCTAGAGCAATGTATATCATGGATATGCTAGATATCAATGAAGTAAATGTATTCGTGCCGGTAACACTATCCCTCTTGACAAATAACTATTATGAACTTCCATCCTGAATCCTTTCAAGAGGATACCTCTGAGAAATCTCCAATTTAACATGGTAAAACAGTTCACACTTGTCCAAAATCTGCTTCATAATCTTTTCTATTTTAATCAATGGCACCACAAAGTATCCACAGGTCCGTATCAGTAACCCAAGTCATACAATACCTAAAACTTTTCATGTCTAACTATTCACTAAATCCATCTCCATCACCTCAACATATATGGCAGAAATACGTAGACTTTCCTTCCTGCTACCACGTCTTTCCAAAAATACCATTAATCTAGCCACCGAATTACCCCAAACAGGCCTCCTTGTTTCCAGCACCAATAATCTACCACCTGAAAATTCATGTAATTTGGATAAGAAACCTGATTTGAAAAAAAATCATGGGGGGGGGGGGAGGAATCCTTAAGAACTGAACTATTAACCCTAAACTTGAAAAACAGTTTTTTTAAGCTTGTTCCTGCCTTTCTAGCTTCATTTCTACGATTCCCCAAAGTCTCAAGAAAGATAATTGCAAGAATGGCGTGACAACCAAGAAAATTTAAATTTTGAGAGGTTGTTAACAGTAGTGAAGAGAATCCAAAAAAGGAAAGGTATTAGAGAATATAGAATAGAATGAGCATGAGAAAAATGAGACTACATTGTGTTTTCGAGTCTAACTGCAAAAGAGTAGGAAATAAACCTGCAATGATACTCAATAAGCTTTCATTTCATCCTCTGAGATAGATTCAAATTAAACATGAAAGTTCTAAAAAACTCGAAACTTAGTGAAATGGAGCCTGGAATCAATACCCTTTTCATCATATAAAACTGCTTCATAAAAGAAAAGGGCAAAGACAAAGAGAACATAAAATGATACAATAATAAACTCGTCGAGAGGAAGTCATTATAAGCTTTTATGTCTAGGAAAGTTTTTCCCTAAGTAGGTAACTCTACCTTCTTCTCTGGTCTAGAAGTGAGATGAGGGAGAAAATGTCTTTCAAAGATTAACTTGCAAGTATACAGAACAGATTAAAGGAGACCAGTGACAGAGATACGCCTGAAACAACTGACTGCCAGCAGCCAGAGAAATAGCCTTGCTTGTGGTCAGACGAATAAGATCCTTGGCGCCTTGTCTGGTTCCCCAAGACCTGTCAGAAGTGATGCCTGAGGCACAGCTCTTTCTTTTCCAGAGAGCTGTCCGTCAAGATGCAGTTCAAACTCCAGCCTTCTCCACAAAACCCACTTCTGAAGTCCACAACATTTAAAACAGATTCTAAACTGATGGACTAAAAGACCTCGTATGATTTGTGTTCGTGCTCAAAGGTTTTGGTTTTGTTTCTTAAACAAAATGTCACGCTATTAAAACACTATTTCCAACTTTTCTTGATAAAACTGGTGTTCTACCGCCACTTGGGATCATTATTTCCACCAAATTACAATCAGCTGGAGCTGAGCAGCTGACCCTTCTGGACGGTTCTTAATATGTTAAAGTCGGGAGATGACCCGTCGACTACCTCACTTCTGAGACTGAACTACAATAACTCAATAAGCTTTCATTTAATAATCATTCAGCGACACATGATGGACACTTCGCACCGGGGGTGACAAAAACGTGCAAGACAAATTTAATCGTCTCCCCCATCGTCCAGCTTAGCAAGCAAGAAAGAGACAAGCAATCACGGCACGTGTGGAAGATTCTGATGCGAAGGAAGTGGAGGGCAATTAGCACATGGCAAGAGCCCCTAAGTCTACGGAAGTGAGAAAAGATCCCTGAGAGAAAGCGACAACGAAACTGGTTTTAGCAGGGAGCAGAGAAGTCAAAGAAGTCCTATGATGGACCGGCAGACGGGACCTTTGAAAAGACCGTGAGGGGAGGGGGAAAGGGCGACAGACAGTGAAGTCAGGTGAGACGTCCTGGTGCCATCGCCCACTTCGGATGCAGGTGGCAGAAACAGGGGCTGAGTGAGAGACTGACCGCGGAGATATGCGGCATCTCCCGGCCCCGGGAAGAGAAAGGAGCAGGGAGGCAGCGGCGGTCTCCATCGCGGAGGGGCAGGACCTGGCGAGCCGGGCGAGGGGCACGCGGACCTGCCGCACCCCGTCTCCAGAGGGCGAAGGCTTCAGTCAGGGGGTGGCCCTCCTTCAGAAGAGGCTCCGGGCGAGCTGAGGCCGGGTCTGTGTGTGCGGGTGGGCAGAGGGGCGACATGAAGCCCCCCGAGGTCCCCTCTGGGCGCCCTGGGGAACGCCGGAACGCTCCCCTCGCTGACAGGCAGCCTGCCTCACACTCGGTCTGCAGCAGCCCGGCGCCTCTCCCCGGCCGTCCGGGCTCCGCCAACGCGCGCACGTGAGTCTCCGAAACGCGCCGACAGACCGCGTCCCCTCCGCTCGCCGGCGCGCCCGTTTCCTCAGACCGGGCCGCCTACTCCTTCCTTCCACACTCCGCGGGGGTCCTCCTCCTCCTCCCCCCGCCCCCACCTCAGTCATGGAGGCGGAATCGCTGCACGGCCCCAACGCAGCGGCCGGACCCACGGCCCGCCCGCCCGGGCCCACGCGGCGGCTCCCCGTCGGAAGGCCGGACGCACTCACCGCCTCGGCGCACCGCGATACCCCGCGCAGGCAGGCTGCCGCTCGTCGCGGCGCTGCGACCGGCACTTCCGGCGCGCGCTACGTCATCAGCAGGCGCCGGCGCGGCCCGCTCGGGAGAGACACCGCCGCCGCCGCCGCGGCCCCCAGTCGCCAGCGAAATGAGACGGGGAGGACCTCACAGGAACTGAGAGCTCGCGCCCGTCGGGGCCCCGGGTCCGCCCGCCCGAAGGTAAACGCCCCGCCCCCGCCTGCGAGCGAAACTCGCCGGGGCGACCCCCCAACAGCCCCGGCGCCGCGCCCCGTGTCTTACTCCTCGAGACCCTCATCTCGCCCTCCTCGCGGTCTGAACAGGACTGAATCCAGCCTAGCTCTCTGGACAGTTTGTTGACTTTTTTTAATTAGGTATGAAAAGAAATTATGATTGGACTTTTGATTTTTTTTTTATACGTACAGGGCCGGGGCGATGTGCAGCGGGTGAACGCCGGCCCCCCAGGTGGTTCCCCTGAGCTCAGGGCCAGAAGTAAGAAACAAAAAAGAAAATTAAATATATGTATGAAAGGCGATGTCTTTCAAAACTTTATTCGTATAATAAATGTCCTCTAGAACTATTCACATACAAAATGTGTCATTTGACAATTTATCAAGCAATTAGCAGAACTGTTGTTTTTTTTTTTTTTAGAAAAGCCTTCTGGTGTTTTGTTTGTTTGTTTTCCTTTTTTGGGTCACACCTGGAGGTGCACACCGGTTACTCCTGGAACTGTGCTAAGGGATCACCCCTGAGATGCACAGGGACCATACGGGATGCCAAGGATGAAAACCAGGTCGACCGTGTGCACATCCAGCACCATTTCCATGTACTGTCACTCGGGCCCCTAGTGATTTAAAAAAAATTGGGGAAAAAAAAAACTTTTTAAAATTTTTTTGGCTATACCTGGTGATGCTCAGGGGTTACACCTGGCTCTGCACTAGGGATCACTTGTGGTGATGCTTAGGGAACCGTGTGGGATGTCTGGGTTCAAAACCCCCTTTGGCCATGTGCACCATCAGTGCCCTACCCGCTATACTATATCACCTGGAAAAAACTTATTCTTAAGAACTTTTTATACTGTCAAGCTAGAACTTCTTTTTAACACTTAAGAGAAAAATAGCCAAAAATGTGTCCAGTTATATTAGTAAAAGTTAGTGACCTAATCTCTGCATCCCCGTGCTAATAAACAGTATTTTTAAGTGTTTACAAGCACTTTCTTGGTCTTAGTCTCTGCAGGCTGTAGCTCAAGAGACTTTAAGAGCATGCCTGGTGGGCCAAGACTTTTACTTTGTTCCCAGTACCTCCTGACCCTCAACTCTGCTTGACAGAGCACTAAACCATCTTGCCAGTACAGCCATTCCTCAGGAAATGGCCATCAGATCCCCTGAGTAGTGCCTGGGAGCCGCACCACACTGTCCCCAAAGTAAAGTGTTGCCTCAGGATTTTTTTATCTATTAAAAGCTCACTTACATATTCACATCATAACCAGTACTAAAGCATTTTGGTTAAGAGGCTATTTGAAAGAAGAACCAGAAAACGCTTTAGTAATGGCTGGATAAAGGAACCCTTCGATTTACCCAGCTGGGATCAGTATTCCTAATTCTGAGAAATATATGTATAATTCTGTCATAATTAGCAGTTTCCTTACTGGTTCTTTTGGGGTTGATTGAGAGCCACAGCTAAGATTTCTGGGGCCCTTACACTGTTGAGCTATCTCTCCTGCCAAAGACAACCTTTTGCTCTTCCAGGGCTGGGGACTAAACCCATATCCTTACATACAAAAGACAAGTTAGCCATATTCCAGGCACCCCTGTATTGTTTGGTCTTCGTGTGGAATGAAGAGTGTCTACTTTTCTTAAGAATACATACTTCTGGGTTTGTTTTCCTCTTCAGAAATGAGTGGTGGATTGGCCCCAAGTAAGAGCACCGTGTATGTATCCAACTTGCCTTTTTCCCTGACCAACAATGACTTATACCGGGTAAGTGAGTTACCTACTTAATTCTTTATTTGAGATGCAGGTGTAACTTGAAGCAAGTGGTTGCCCTTGGCATAATTCTTAATAAGTACATAATTATTTACATGTTTTATCAGTACCAAAAACTTTTACTGCAGACATGTGTTAGTGGCAAAATTAGACACTTGTGGCTCCCAAAGAGAATTTGTAGTCCCATTTTAGAAAATAACAAATTTTGTTTTTACAAGTTTCTTTCTTTCCTTTATTGTGTGTTTTTTGTTTTGGGTCACACCCTTGGCACTCAAGGCTTACCCCTAGCCTTTCACTCAGAGGTCACTCCTGGCAGGGTCAGGGGACCAGATGGGGTGCTGGGGTTAACCCCAGGTCAGCCACATGAAAGACAATTGCCCTACCCATTGTACTCTTGCTCCAGCTCAAGAATAACAAATTGCATATAAACACAGAAAGCAACTAGTCTAATGAAGCTTGAGCATCATATAACAGAGTGATCTCTTTTTTTCCTGCTTGTTTTTCCTACTTGGCATTGTGTGTATGTTTGTGTGTGTGGTGCCAGGGATAAAAACCAGGTCCCCACATTTACTTTTCTTGGCTTTTGAAGTTGTTTTGGGGTGGTTTTTGAAAAATGGCTTCTGGGAGTAAACAGATCTCATTCCAATAACTCATTCTGAAAATATATCTTAATTTACATATGACAGAAACATAATAATTTAATAAGCTTTGTTTTTAGTGTAGTATCAGGTTGTGTGAAGGGGCAATAATACTTTACATCCTATTTTATCACTTTAACCTTGCACAAAACAAAATTTCCTGTTCTTATCCTACAGATGAGAGGAACTGGAAGGAATGGCATGATTTCTTCCCTTTTTTATTTTTTTTTTTTTTTAATTCTTTAGGTGTCCTTTAGGTAGCTATTAAGTAGAGAGATATTATGTAGGTAATTGTAACGGTTGATTAACTACTTAAAGTAGCTTGAGTCTTTGAACAGAGAAAAAAAATGAAGTTTAGCTTTCTTCTTCATATGAAAATAGTCATTCCTGGGGCCAGAGCTATAATACAGTGGGGGGGTGGGGGAGGCTGGAGAGATAAAACAGTAAGTAGGTAGAGCGTTTGCCTTGCGTGCAGCTGACCCAGGTTCAATTCCCAGCATCCCATATGATCCCCCGAGCACCGCCAGGAGTAATTCCTGAGTGCGGAGCCAGGAGTAACCCCTGTGCATTGCCAGGTGTGACCCGAAAAGCAAAAAAAAAAAAAAAAAAATCAGTATAATACAGTGGGTAGGGTGTTGACCTTGCAAGCTGCCAATGCAGATTCAATCCCCAGCATCCCATATGGTCCCTGATTACTACCAGGAGTAATTACTGAGTTCAGAGCTAGGAGAAACTGCTAAGCATCACTGGTTGTGATCCCAAAAAGCAAAAAATAATTTTAAAAAATAATTAAAGAAAATGGTCATTCCTTTATTGAATGTTTACTGTTATGTTCATATAAATAATAGGTGCAATAGTAAACAAAAGATAAAGAAGAAAGCCCTTCTTGGTACTTAGAGTATAACAAGATAGAGGAACACTGAAATACAAAATGTCAGATTATATTATTTATAAGATAGTATGTTAATGCTGTGATGGTACATGCTAATAAGAAAAAGATAAAGCAGGAGATGAGATTTATTAAATTAGTGAAGCTTTAGATCACCAATCTGAATTCTTTACTGGGAAGGTTATCTTTGAATAAAAATGTGAAAGTACCTTCTGTACAATTGCCTAGAGAAAAAGCATTTAGTTGGATAAAAATGTGAAGAGAGGACTGGCAGGCAGAGGAGAACCTCTGGAGAGGACCCAGAGAAGAGGGGTTACTCTGGGTAGAACAAGAAGCCAGTAGAATGCATAAGTGTAAGAAACTATATTCATCTAATAAGTTCAGTATTGCTAGCCTGCAATCTAGTTATATTAGTTATATTGTTTCAGCAGTGTGTATAGAACTAAAAAATGTATTTGTGTATTAATAAACTCAAAGACTTTTATTAGAAGCATTATTTAGTAAGTAGGAGCTGTAAGTACATAGAAGTGGCTGAGATCGTGAGGGTGAGAGTACAGAGTTAAAAAGGAAGGAAAAGATCCATCAATAGCACAGTACCAAAGCTCTTGAGCAATAGAAGACTGATGAGAATGAACTTTTTGCTGTAGAGGCTTGATATTTTATAAGTGTTCTTAAAATAGTGATTGATAGACTAAGAATAACGGTATTCCAAAACATACAGACATTTGAAGAATAAGTCTTCTGTGGAGCTCTGATATAATTGCTGCCAGGGACACAGTATCTGTCCAGTGAGTGCATCTTCTGTCTACCACATGTGAAAAGTTGAGGGTTTTTTTTTCCTCTATATGCACACTTTCATCAGAAAGTTAAGAAATGTGGTCAAAGCAATAGTACAGCAGGTTGGACACTTGCACTACTCATTGTTGGTCCCAGCACCTCCAAGTATGGCCCTCTAAGCCCACCATAGTGATCCCTGAGCACCACTGGGTGTGGCCCAAAAACCTATATAGTTAAATAGGTAAATAGATAGATACAGGTGTATAGATAGATAGATAGATAGATAGATAGAACCATATAGATATAATTTTAGTTATTTAAATAAAAACATTGTAGACTCTAAGCAAAAAATTTTTATAAAACTAATAAAAATGTAGTGCTGGAGAGATAATACAGTGCATAGGATGCTTGTCTTGCAGGTGGCAGAACCAGGTTAAATCCCTGGCTGCCACATATGGTCCCTCAAGCACCACCAGAAGTGATTCCTGCAGGCAGAACCAGGAGTGACCCTGAGCATCACCGGGTGTGGCAAAAATAATAATAATAGTAACAATAATGTGGTTCATGAATACAACCTGGGTTTTTAATAAATTTTTTAATTAAATTGTAAATTATTTGGTCTTTTGTTTCAGATATTCTCCAAGTATGGCAAAGTTGTAAAGTAAGTAATCACAACAAATTTTGAAACTTTAAAAGTTTGAAGTTTGTCTAGGATATAGCTCAGTTATAGATCATAAGTGTCACAGATATCAGGTCCCTGGGTTCAGTCCCTGGCACAACCAAAAAACAGTTTATCCGAATTTATTTCTGGGGTATATAACTCTAATTTTATAGGAAGCACCCCACTGCTGCGCAAAGGGTCCCTGGAGCAACTTCAACAATTGACTAGAAGTGCTCAGGAGCCACAAGGACTACTTCAACAGTGCTCAGGGATAGAGCCCAGTTTCACACACATTAGACCTGCACTCTGGCCACTTGAGCCATCTCCTTGACCTCTCCAGTTCCTTTTTTTTTTTTTTTTTTTATGAAAGTATATTTACTTTATATGGCAGAGACATTTGACATACAAATATTGAATTTAGGGATCGGAGAGATACTACAGGCAGTCAGGAACTTGCTTTGATTGCAGGCCACCCCAGTTAGATCGTCAACACCATAATACAGTCCCTGAGCACTGCCTATATTACAGCTTAAAGCCTTTCTCCACTTGTTTTTTCTGAGTTTGTTTAATTCATTAGGACACCTTAGTTCTTAGAGTTGTTCATAATAGATTTGTTTCAGCATACAGTGTTCCAACACCAATCCCACCCCCAATCCCTACTTATCTCCTCCAGTGTTCCAAGTTCCTTTCATCCCCTCAGTCTGCCCCCTTGGCAGGCATAGAACATATTTATTTTATATTACTTGCCCCAACAAAATGCACAGGAATGGAAAATAATAGAATTATCCCAAAATAAATTTGTGATGATTGGTTGCCATGATTTTTTTTAACCTTAATCTAGTAGAGGGCAACAATATGCACCATTAGTGAGTGTCATACTCAGTGTCACATGTTGGGAAGTTTCTTTTTTCCTTTAAAGGAGCTTTTTTAACATTTCTTGCAAAACTGGTTTCAAGACTATTGAATTCCCTAAGCTGTTGCTGTCATGTTATGCACCAGTTGTTGGTTAGACTCAGTTGATTAAAACATAGCAGTGGAGAAAAAAAAAATCCGTATGTTAAATCATTTTCATCTTGTTGATGAAACTCTACGCTTTTAGTTGATTTCTGACTAGTAAAATTTTGTTATACTTCCTGAAATGCAAAGATAATCCAGTTGGCTCAAAAATAGTTTCAAACAAGTTGGGCTAAAGACTCATTTGGGGTAGGGGACACATGTGCACAGAGAGCAGTGTAGAATTTATCCAGTAAATATAGTGAAGTTGGGGCTGGAGCAATAGCACAGTGGGTAGGGCGTTTGCCTTGCACGTGGCCAACCCGGGTTCGATTCCCAGTATCCCATAGGGTCCCCTGAGCACTGCCAGGGGTAATTCCTGAGTGCAGAGCCAGGAGTAACCCCTGTGCATTGCTGGGTGTGACCCAAAAAGCAAATATATATAGTAAAGTTACCTGTTCCCCAATTACCTGTGCAAGAAAAACTTAATATGTAGACATTAATTTAATAATAACAGGATAAATGAGATAACATGTGCAGTGTGTTGTTTCTTATTCTATACTTTTTTCAGTGTTTTATTTATTCCGTTGATTTTTCATTAGTTTACAGTACTATAGAATTTCAGGATTTTAGCTTATAACCTCTATCAAAAAGATCTCTATTCCCCTCAGCCACCCATCGTTCCTCTGGTAACAACCATTGTTTTCACCGAGTCAAGTTAGTTATGTAGTCTTGCCATTTCTTTTGCACTTAGTTATATTCTACATAAGAGTGAACCATCCACGTGTTTTACGTAGCATAATCACTTTGAGTTCCATTGATTTTGTCCCAAATAGAACAATTTCATACAATTTTCACAACAGAATTCTTCTACTCAGTAGAATTCTACTTCATCTTTTTTATCCAGTCAATTTGTTGATGGATATTTAAATTAATTTTGTATTTTATTGTGAATAATATTTCTGTGAGTACAAATGTCTTTTCAAATTAGTGTTTTTATATCCTTTTGATAAATGCCTGTGAATGGGATTTCTGAATCCTTATGTTATATTTTCCCCCTACATCCTCACCAACATTTATTGTTTTTATTCTTTTGATATAGGCCATTCTCATGTGTGAGTGTTGATTTCATGTATGGTTGTGCTTAGTTTTTGTTTGGGGTTCAGATCTAGGAGTGCTGAGGGCTTATACCTGGCATTTTGCTCAGAGATAACTCCTGGCAGGGCTCAAAGGATCATATGAGGGCAGGGATAGAGCCTGGGTTGGCAGTATGCAAGGCGAGTGCCTTATCCCCTATACTCTTTGTCCCCTTCACATATGGTTTTGATTTGCATTGCCATAAGGTTTTGATTTGCATTGTCCAAGTGAAAAATAATGCTGAGCATTTTTTCAAATGTCTGTAACCATTTGGTTGTCTTCTTTGGATGTCTATTTGTGTCTTTTGCTCTGTTTGTTATTGTTGCTTGTTTTTTGTTGATAAGTGAATTCTTTATATTTTATGTATACTAACCTCATGTCGGGTGTATGATTTAAAAATTACCTTCTATTCAGTAGGTTAATTTGGGGGGGGTGATAGTTTCTTTCACTTTAAATTTGATATATATTCTTTGGTTATTCTTTCTTTAGTTTCTCTTATTGATGAACTTATTTTCAAGTACATCTCTGATATTGGGGTCTGAAATCTATCATCTGTGTTTTCTTCAATTATTTTGTGGTTTCAGACTTAATATTTATTCTTGAATTAACTTCAATTTCACCACATAATCGTTGCAATTTAGGACAAATACTTTTGCAAAATGTGGGCGTAACCTTTATGTAGATACTATTTTTTAAAAATTGTGCTGGTATTAACATCAGCATGTGGCAATTATGCAGTAGGAGCATTGGAGGACCATTGTCCTCCCGTTGTTCATCAATTTGCTCGAGCAGGCCCAGTAATGTCTCCATTGTGAGACTTGTTGTTACTGTGTTTGGCATATCGAATATGTCATGGGTAGCTTGCCAGGCTTTGCCATGTGGACGTGATACTCTCGGTAGCTTGCCTGGCTCTCCGAGAGGGACGGAGGAATCGAACCCAGGTCAGCCGCATACAAGGCGAAGGCCCTACTGCTGTGCTATATCTCCAGCCCAAATTATACAGTGAAATATAGTAATTTTGTATACTCTGTTAAATAGTAAATCTAGTTTTGTTTATTTTGAGGGGATGGGGTGTTGAATTTTTTTGGTTGGTTTTTTGGCTTTTTGGGTCATATCTTACAGTGCTCAGGGATTACTCCTGGTTCTGCATTCTGGAATTACTCCTGGTGGTGCTCAGGGGACCATAGGGATTCCAGGGATTGAACCTGGCTCAGCCGCATGTAAGACTAATGCCCTCCCTGCTATCCTTATCACTCCAGATCCAAGTTTTGTTTTTTAACATGTCCCTATTCAGTTTTCCCAAACCGATTTCTTGAAGAGACTTTCCTTTCTCTATTGTGTAGGCTTTTCTTTGTCATATATGTACATACATATGTGATTTTATTTCTGGATTCTGTTTCATGTGTGTGCTGTTCTTGTTTTAATACCACACTCATAGTTACTATTGTTTTATAAAGTCTGGCAATATGATACCCCCATTTTTCTCTCAGAATTGTTTTGACTATTTGGAATTAGTATTGTTTCTCACCATATTACTAAGAATTAAGGCCCATACTTGTAATCAAGGGCTGGAACCATAGCACAGCGAGTAGGGCGTTTGCCTTGCATGCAGCCGACCCAACTGACCCTAGTTCGATTCCTCCTCCCCTCTCCGAGAGCCTGACAAGCTACCAAGAGTATCTTGCCCACACAGCAAAGCCTGGCAAGCTACTCATGTCGTATTCTATATGCCAAACACAGTAACAAGTCCCACAGTGTTACTGAGCCCACTCAAAAAAATTGATGAACAACGGGAGGACAGTGCAGTGCAATGCTACTCGTAATCAAATATAAAAACAAATTTTAAAGTCCTGATTAAGGGCTGGGAAACAGTATACTGGTTATTCCACCCTGGTTCAATCCCTGGTACTACAGAGTCTTTGAAGCATCACAGAATATTCCCCAGGAGTACCTGGGCATCGCTAGAGTGACCCAGCCAGTTCCAGCACCACAAGGCTCAAGTAGCACTATATTCTTGGACACTTGAATTTAATCACCAACTAATTAGCTAAGTATCACCAGTGGAGGCCCCGACCCTCCTGAACACAATTTGGGAAGGCCTCTTCCCACCCCTTAAGAAAAGCTATGATTTAATATATATTTTCTGTGTTCTTGGGGCCAGAGATAAGATAATGATAAGGTTTTTGCCTTTCATGCTGCCAACCCAGGTTCAATCCCTGGCACCATATATGGTTCCTAAGTTCTGCCAGAAGTGATCCTCGAGCACAGAGCCAGGAGTAAACCCTCAGCACTGCAGGGTATGACCCAAAACAAACAAATATATCAAGTATACTGTAAATGGATTATTATTTGTCAAGCAAAGGGAGCATATAAACAAATATTTCTATGTGTATGATGTGCAAGGTACTTACGAGACTTATGAATAAATAGAAAACATTTTCTGCCTTCCTTGAAATTTAAATGTCATTGAAAAGATTGGAACAAAGAAAAATGATAATATATACCAACTGAGAATATAAATATGAAAGGAACTTAAGGTTCTCATATTTCATTTGCTCTTAAGCAATCAAGCAACTATATTAAGCTAAGAAATAAATTAAAGAAGGCAAAGCAAGACACTTTTATTATGTCTTATATTTTAACATAAGTTAATTTGCTATTTTTTAAGCAATCAACTATATCAAGCTAAAAAGTAAATCAAGCAATGAGAGGCAAAGCATTTGCTTTATATTGTCTAGAAGGGTTATTTTCTTACAGACAATATGTATTCTAATAATTTAAACAGTCCAGAAACTTTTCTTACTTGGTTGTTGTAGCTTTTGATAAATAGATGATAAATATCTAAGATTAATTTGTATTCATACATTAATTTCTTTGAAATTGATTTCTCTATTTGAAAAAAAATCATTGGGGAGCCCGAGAAATACAGCACAGGGGTAAGGCGCATATCCTGCGTGCACTTAACCTTGGTTGGGTTTCCAGCATCACATTCTCTCTGAGCTTCCAAAGGTGCAGCCTTTGCCAAGGTGCAAAGATAGATCCTTGGAGCTGCAGAGCCTGAGTCGTGTCACATTCCCAGGCCCTTAATCTAAACCACTGGGCTGGTATGTCAAAAATTGACAGGAAGTGAAAAACTTTGTCTTTCTCCCTCTGAACACAATGAATAAACAAATGTACTCTTTTAAGAAATAGAATGATTTTAGTTGCTTATTTTTTGAATAAAATAAAGTGCCCTCATTCTTAGTATAGTGGTTTTTTAAAAAAAATTCTTGCTGAAGCAGATGAGGTAGGTTGGGATGAATCCCTGAAGTCACACATGCACAGTAAAAATAATTACTCAGCTGGTACAGTCTGTTTGGAATCCAAATGTGCACCACTGGTGGTATACACAGTGTCAACATGTTAATAGTAGATGTGTGTGTGTGTGTGTGTGTGTGTGTGTGTGTGTGTGTGGCAGCGGGGGAGGGGGAATCTTAGGGATCTTAGAAGTTTGATGTTTTGGGTACTAGTACTATGCCACAGTAACCTAAATCTTTTATATCAGTTGGCCTATGGTAAAACTAATTTCATTATATGTCATTTTGCTTAAAATTTTCAGGGACTGATTGGTTCCATAAGAACTTACTGTGTTCCTTTCTGGAATAACAAAATATTTCCCTATCACAATGTTGGAATAGGCCATTTCTCCAGTGACTCTCGTGGAACATTGTCTTCCAAAATATATTTTAAGATAAGCAAGGGCCTTAAAACCTAGAGATGAGCAAGGATCAGGAGAAAGTGCAGAATCTTTACTCTTACTCTGTGCTCTTAATACTGTAGTATTTAAAATAATATTGAAATAGTTAACGTTTCTGAACCTAGAAAAATAACAAATTCATTTTATTTTTGTCTGAAAAGAACATCTCTTTTTTGTTTGTTTTTATTAAATCACAGTAAGATACTCAGTTACAAAGTTTTAATGTTTGGGTTTCAGTAATACAATGATCTAACACCAGTCCCTCCACCAGTGTACATTTCCCACCACAATATCCCCAGTTTCCCTCTGCCACAGCCCCCCCCATCAGTCTGCCTGTATGGCAAACATATCTCTCTCTCTCTCTCTCTCTCTCTCTCTCGCTTTTATGGTATGTAATACAGGTACTGGAAGGTTATCAGGTTTGTGAGAGTAGAGACGATAAATTATTCCAGCACTTCATGATTCTATTGTTTTAATAATTCTTCATCTTTCAACATTTGATTTGTAAAATACTCAGTCATTGCTAAGCTACACACTTTTCTTTCTAAATATCATACTAATGAATTTTGTTCATTTTTTATATATGTTTTATATACATAATGATAATGTTCTTAAGTTCTAAAATCTTTCAGACTTAGGGTACCTGGCAAGTTTCTATAACATTTCCATTCTTGATATCCCATGACTTTAAATAGATAGTTATTCTTTTTAACTATTTTTGCTTTTTTTAGGGTTACTATAATGAAAGATAAAGATACCAGGAAGAGTAAAGGGGTAGCATTTATTTTGTTTTTGGATAAAGACTCTGCACAGAATTGTACCAGGTCAATAAATAACAAACAGGTAAGTCATTCATTCCCAAAAGGTTTGTAACTCAAAACACTTTGTGCTCCTCCAGGCTAAGATTTGTGAGCTTGCCATGAATAGTCAAGTTTGAGGGATATCAGTAGATCTGCACTTTCTTTTTTTTTTTTTTTTTGCTTTTTGGGTCACACCTGGCGATGCACAGGGGTTACTCCTGGCTCTGCACTCAGGAATTACTCCTAGCGTTGCTCAAGGGACCATATGGGATGCTGGGAATCGAACCTGGGTTGACCGCGTGCAAGGCAAACGCCCTACCCTCTGTGCTATTGCTCCAGCCCCAGATCTGCACATTTTAAACTAATAAAATAGGAAAAAGTCAAAGCTGTACTGTCTTCCAAAGCTTTGATAGGAACATACTATTAAGAATTTCGTTATGCAGAATTTGTCACACCTAAGTGGGTATTTGATAAAAATAATATTGAAAGTAAAATATAATTAAAGATTTGAGGAAATAAGATCAAATATCTAGGTTTTGGTGTCAGTAAAATAATATCCTGCTTTTTCATTTTTGCTTGATTCAGTTATTTGGTAGAGTAATAAAAGCAAGTATTGCTATTGACAATGGAAGAGCAGCTGAGTTTATCCGAAGACGAAACTACTTTGATAAATCTAAGTGTTATGAATGTGGGGTGAGTATACTAAACCTTAGTTTTCCTAGTTATCTTCAAGATATTTTTCACATTAGTGGCTTAATTTTGCCTCCAGTACTTGGCTAGCTAAAACTATATTATTTAATTTTGCTCTTTACTTACCTGCTAGGTAACTCAATTGAAATTTAGTATGTAACAATAACCGAGGTAATATAGAGTGGTATTTCTCCAGCTTCTAAAATATTTTAAATAGATTTAAAATAGTCTGATTATTATTAACTTGAAAGATACCAGTGACCCATGAATTTTTATTAAGATACTACTTACTTCAATAGTATTTTGCAGTGTTTAATTTTTACAGTTAAGTATATATATTACCATTTGAGTCATCCTCTTTCAATTGTTGTTTCAATTTGTGGAGTTTTCTATATTTTAGTTTTCAGACTACACCTGGTGGTATGCAAGTGCCCTTGCTTAGGGCATGGCTCAACCCTAAGCAGGGGAACACATGATGCTGGGGATTGACCCCAGGCTCCTGCATGCAGAGCATGAATTTGTGCCTTTTGATCTGTCTACCTACCCTCATAGTGTCTTTTAAATTTGGGAGGTTTATTTTTATATACATATATGTATATGTATATATATATATAAGTATTCAAGTCCCATTTGCATTTTAACATTACATATGTATCAATTGTGACAGGTTCTCAAAAGCCACTAAAGAATTCTAGGTAGTGGTACCATAATTAGATAGTTTAGGTATAGTCTATATATTAAATGAAAAAAACTTATACGAAATATAAGACTAAGTGTACTACTTTGTTTTTTAAGCAAAAATGTTTAAACATTTTAAAAGTGGACAAGAATACTGTATCCCCATTTTATCCAACATTTATTTATAGTATGAGTCCAGTTAAATTTTTATTGTTTTATATTCTGAAACTTGAGGTATAAAATATTTGAAAGAAGACTACTTTTAGAGAAACTACCAAAATACTTCCTTATTGTTAAAGTGGCTCATTGATAGTTATAATACCATAATCTCTTCTTTCTAAATATTAAAATAATGAATTTTATTCATTTCTCATTGTACATATACTCAGTGATGATGTTCTTTCCGTAGTTCTAAAATCTTTTAGCCTTAAAGTACCAGGAAATTTTAATATCATATATATAGCTGTTTTCTTTTTCTTTAATTGAAAATGAAAGGAAAGTGGACACTTGAGTTATGCCTGTCCCAAAAATATGCTTGGAGAACGTGAACCTCCAAAGAAAAAAGAAAAAAAGAAGAAGAAAAAAATTCCCGAACCAGAGGAAGAAATGTATGTATGTCTACTCCTTACTAAATGTGATGGTGTTATTGTTTCTGAATTTTCACTACTGATTGAGTGTATTTGGATTTTTTTTTCCCCTAATTATTTAGTGAAGAAGTAGAAGAGAGTGAAGATGAAGGTGAAGATCCTTCTCTTGACAGTCTTAGTCAGGCCATTGCTTTCCAGGTACTAAATATTTCTTTATTAAAAAAGCACCATGGGAGACTATATAGTGGTTATATATGTGCATGCCTCACACATGTCTGACCCAGATTTGATTCCCTGTACCCATGGTCCTCTGAGCATTGCCAACTGTGGCCATGCAGACCCTAGCAGCATCACAGCTTGGGCCCTTACATTGAACTGCTGGACCACTTGGTGAAGAATTACCTGAGGCCTTCTGAGCACTCCTTAGAAGTCCTACTAAATGTTTTAAATAAAGTACCATGCTGTAACTAGACTGGTAGCTTTATGTTCCTTCTTTTCCTTAACTGCAATCTTTCCCCTTTACCGCATAAGCTTTGTTTTATTTTGGGGCCACAGCAGGCTGTGCTTGGGGCTTAGTCCTGGCTCTGCACTCAGGGATCTCTCCTGGGAAGACTGGGGAACCAACTACGGTGCCAGGGATTGAACCCAGATCAGCCACATGCAAAGCAAGCACCCACTTGCTGTACTATTACTCCAGCCCCAGTGATAGTCTATTTCTATAAGACTTATAGAGCAATGTAATGGAATAGTTCCCATTTAGTTCTAAATTTTAAGGATCCTACATACTTTCAATACTTAATCTTTACATTGCGGAATTAAGAAAAAGTTACTGATTAAACTGAGTTTACCTCAAAAAGAAAATATTTTATTGAATCAGTTTTAAAGAGTATTTTACTGAATCAGAGTTTTAAAGATGGACTAGAGCGATAGTACAGTGGATAGGGCATTTGCCTTGCACGTGATGACCCAGGTTCGATTCCCATCGCATCCCATATGGGCCCCCAAGCATTGCCGGGTATGACCCAAAAAGAAAAAAAAAAAGTTTTAAAGATTTTAAGTACTGGGAGATTTCTCACAGGGCTGGAACTCATGGGAACAGAGTTTAATACCTGGCACCACAAATTCTACCCCCTGAAGACTCCAGCACCACTGAGTCTGAGCCCTGAATCCAACTGGCCCATATAGCCAGGCTAAGTTTCACTGAGCCCAGAGCCTTGAACGCCACTTGAGAGCAAGAAACGTTGCTTCAATAGGAAATGTTTTATAAGTGTATGAGATATTTCTTAGAGTAGGCATAGAATCTGATAATTTTTGTATAGTCAATTATTCTCTTTTAATGTAATGTGTAAATTAGAAATGCATTTATCATTTTTCCTTTTAACTATTGTCATATTCTGTACAACTGCCCAATCACACTATAGATTTTTATTTTGCATGCCTGTTGATCAGTAAAAATTATCTAGAATAATTTGGGGTAGCATAATAAAAAGTAGTATCTTGGGAGTGCTGGAAAACGAACTTTCATAATGGAGTGGAATTGTCTGCATGAACTGAATGGATGGGTTTTGTTGCATTATGATGGGATTTTGATTAATTCATAATGAATAATTTTAGATTTCTGGTTTTTCACTTTGTTTTCTAAATCATTTAACAGCAAGCCAAAATTGAAGAAGAACAAAATAAATGGAAACCCAGTTCAGGAGGTCCTTCAACATCAGATGATTCAAGACGCCCAAGAATAAAGAAAAGCACGTATTTCAGTGATGAGGAAGAACTTAGTGATTAAAATTTATTTATTATGTAAATATTATTTTTTTTAAATATTGACAGTACCGGTTTATTTGGGCTAACAATGATTATTTTCCATATTCAAGCATAAGAAAACTTAGTATCAAATATTTTTTATTCTATAATAGTTCGTTGAAATTGAAAAAGAATTATAAAGTCATTTTTCTGTCTTACCAGAATAAAATTTTAAAATCAAGATATTATAATAACCATTTACCTTGAAATCAGTTCATTTGAATGAAAAAAAAACTGTCATAGTAATTTTACTGTCATCCCAAATAAAAGGATAGATACTAGGAATAATTTTCTGAGACGTTTATAAAATTTTATTCACATCCAAATAGTTTACATGCGGACTTTTGAAATAAATATTTTAACAAGAAGTGCTCTTTAAAACAACCAATTCTTCAGGCCAGAGAATTAGTACAGGAATTAAGGATTAACTGTACTTAATCGTCAATTCATTCCACAGAATCACCAAGAGTGACCCTTGAACACTGACAGGAGTAAAGCCTCAGTACCGTCAGTTATGCCTCAAAACAAAAATTAAAAGCAAACACTTTTAAAAACTGTGAAAAAGTTAAAGAATTTATTTTTATTCAGTGATAATAAAATTTTCAAGGAAATTGATAAATATTTTATTTATTTACTTATTTTAGCTTTATCCCAATCTAGATAAGCTATACTCACCAATATATTTACAACAGATTTATCAAAGGACATTTTTTAAGACCAGACACTGTGGTTGAATATAGTAAAGCTCAATGAAGTGAATACCCACCAAGAGTACTTACCCAGCCAAACATTCGTTCATTAAGAGTAGAAGGAACAATACACAACTTTATAAATAAATAAAAGCTCAGAAACTTAGTAGACTCAAAACCAACTTTACAAGAACTGAAGGGGCTATTTTTAAGACAAGACAATGTTACAAGCACACCAAACTTCTACAGAAAGTTGTCTGATAATAACTTCCACAGAAAGATTACATGATAGTCATTTCAATATCAGTTACCTAGATGCACCAGTTAAAAGACAGATACACCGTAGGTGTTCATTTCATGCAAGCAACCTTTCAGGAAGAACCTTTCCTCTTGAGGCACCTCATTGAAGGCCTTTCCACACAGATCCCCTTTGGGAAAGAAGTTTCTTGTGAGCAGGCAAACAAGCCAACCAGCAGCAGAATTCAAACACATTCTGTGACTGACCCTGAGGCCGTTTTATGCTTTGCTTTTCCCACAAGTCAGACACTGGTGAGTGTGCTTTACCCCTTTCATATCCCCTAAGATCCACATCTTGGCCTCTTACACTGAACTTTCACCAGAGAAGCCTGGCCACCCCAACTACACTAGGTCTGTTAGGCCCTACTCTAATCAGCAGTCCCCCAAAACCCATAAAAGTAAAGGTCAGTGCAGCAAACAATATAACCCTAGTAAAAGAGAAGCAATAAGTTCAGGACAAGGAACACATTTCAGAATCAACACAAAATGCTCCACACAATTACACAGGAACACCAAATTAGAAGAAATACCTTTGATGGGGAAAGACGAGACCATTACCCACCAAGTCCCCCAGAGGACTCCCTGGCAGTGGTAGATGAACCTTGATGGTGTATTGAAAAGAAATCACCTCCAGACTATCAAAGGCACCCATGGGGAAACTACCACCCCCCCCCCACACACACACACAGAGGAATAAGAAGATAAGAACCCCAGAATTCTGAAAAATGAACATATCCTCCTACATGATCTCTCTGTAGATCAATGGCCAAGACCCAGAGACTATAAAACCCAGCTCCTAGAAGAGAACAGCACAGAGTCTCCTGCCCCCACTCCTGGCTGTCCTCACCAGGGCTCCTTGGAGGAGGGCGGATTGAGTTTCCCTCCCCACCCCGAGCAGAGCCCCGGCAGCTGAAGAACTCCAGAACCAGGGACAGCCGTGCTGAGACCACTCTCCACACATCCGGACAAGTCTCATGCATGAAGGAACTGGCAAAGGAACCCAGGCATGCAGGTCCCCAGGCTGAGATCTCCAAGCCTGCTCGTACCGGGACTGGGCCTTCTCCACCCAGATCCCCCATCTTCCAGTAGGTAGGCGTTACACCCACCAGCTGCTGCCGGCGCCAGGTGGTCCCATCAGCAGCCAAGACCCAGAGATTATAAAACCCAGCTCCTGACATTATCTTGTTTTTACTTTAGAGAGCCCGGCAGGCTACCAAAAATATCCTGCCCGCACAGCAGAGTCACAAACTTCCCATGTCATACTCAATATGCCAAATACCAGTAACAATGATAGGTCTCATTCTCTTAGCCCTGAAAGAGCATTGAATATGGCTTTTTTAAAAATCTCAGGGCTAGGAAAGAGACATTACGGGTGCCTGCTCCAGGCAATCAAAGAACACGATGATCATGATCGTGATGTTCTCTGATAAAGAATTCAAAGATGAAGTGGGTGAGGATGTTTAACAAACTCAAACAGTGGAACGACATCCAATAAAACACAGGAGGATATCAGCAGAAGTAAGGAAACTACAACAGAAATACTGAAAAATCCGGTAGGTAAAATGAAAACTCAGTAGATTCCGTCTACAGTAGAGTAAAAGCAGCTGAAGACAGTATGAGTGAGCTTGAAAATGAGATGCAGAAAATCTTTAGGCAATAGTAGTAGATGGAGGGAAACCTCAAAATAAATCAAGAGCAGGCAAAAGAACTCTTGGATGAACTCAAAAATAACACAAGAATCAGTCCCAGGAAGACAGGAAAGCAACCTCAAGGAGGAAATAACAAAGACATTATTGCTGATAGTTCCCAAGCTTGAGAAAGCCAGCATCCAGATCTGGGAAGCCTGAAGGATACCAGCTAAAAAAGACCCTTATAAAAAGAATACAAGACATATCCAAAACAGACTGGCTAAAACTGTAGATAGAGATAAAATATGTAAAGGAGTGTCCCTGAGCAAACCTCTCAAGTGACCCTGTGGGCCCAAGCGGAATTTAGTTTTGGGGGGAAATAAAAAGGCCTTGCCAAGAATACTTTACCAAGCCAGATTCGCATTCAGATTTGAAGGAATAATACACAACTCTACAAATAAACAGTTGATGAACTTCATAGTCTCAACATCAATTTTAAAATAATTAAAAGGGCTACTTTAAGGCAAGACAAACCCCAGAGACACACCAAACTAATACAGAAAGATGACAACAAAACCCCATAATAATAATCTCTCAATGTCAATGGTCTAAGCCTACCAATTAATAGACATAGAGTAGCAAAATGAACTTAGAAATTGATAGATTCCAACATTCTGCTGCTGTCTATAAGGAACACTGTCTATAAGGAACACATGCTGTCTATAAGGAACACTTTGAAAGTCTCTATGCCATGAAACGAGAACCTAGAAGAAATGGATAAATTCCAGGATTCCTATAATCTCCTAAGGCTGAATCAAGAAGAACTAGAGTACCTGAATAGACCTATTAACATCAAGGAAATCGAAATTGTAATCGTCTTCCCAAAAACAAAAGCCCAGGTCCAGATGAATTCACTAGCGAATTTTTCAAAAAATTTAAAGAGGATCTATTGCCAGTTCTTCTCAAGCTTTTCCAGGAAATTGAAGAAACAGAAACTCTCCCAGTTTCTATGCAGCCGATGTCTCTCTAATACCAAAGGAAACAAAGACACCACAAGAAAAGAAAACTACAGGTCAATATCCCTGATAAACATGGATGAGAAGATTCTCAACAAAATAGCAGCAAATAGAATTCAACAGCTCATCAAAAAGATCATATACCATGACCAAGTGGGATTCATCCCAGAGATGCAAGGATGGTTTAACATTCGGAAATCAACATTATCCATCATAGCAACAAAAGAAAAGATAAAAATCATATGATCATATCAATAGATGCAGAGAAAGCATTTGACAAGATCCAGCACCTGTTTATGATAAAAATCCTCGCCAAAATGGGTATACAGGGGACTTTCCTCAATATAGTTAAAGCCATCTACCACAAGCCTACAGCAATCATCATCCTCAATGGGGAAAAACTGAGAGCCTTCCCTCTAAGATCAGGGACTAGATAAGGATGCCCACTCTCTCCACAGCTGTTCAATATGGTACTGGAAGTACTTGCAATAATGATTAGGCAAGAAAAAGATACTAAGGCTATTCAGGTAGGAAAGGAAGATATCAAGTTTTCACTATACACAGATGATATGATACTATAATTAGGTAACTCTAAAAACCTCTACCAAGAAACTCCTAGAAACAACAGACTTGTATAGTAAAGTTGCAGGTCATAAAATCAATACCCAAAAGTCCATGGCTTTCCTATACACAAATAATGAGAGAGAAGAAAGTGACATGAAAAAAGCAATCCTGTTCACAAACATACCTCAGAAAATCAAGTACCTCGGAATCAGCCTAACTAAAGAGGTAAAGGACCTCTACAAAAAAAAAAACTACAAAACAACTACTTCACAAAATAAAAGAGGAAATGGAAACACACCCCCTGCTTGGAAAGAGAGAGACAGACATAGAAAGAATACATTCATCTGGGGAACATAAAGTAACAAAATAAGAGACTAACACCCAAGAATAACAAAGATAAGTACCAGGAGGTTCACTCCATGGCTTGGAGGCCAGCCGCACATGCTAGGGGGAAAGGCAGCTCAGTTAGAGAAGGGAGCACCAAAGAAAGGGTGTTGGGAGGATCCTCCCAGGATGGGAAATGCATGCGGAAAGTAGACTATAGGTCAAACATGATTGCCACTCAATGCCTCTTTTGTAAACCACAGCACCCAAAAGGAGAGAGAGTACAATAGGGAATGCCCTGCCACAGAGGCGGGGGGGGGGGGGAATACTTGGATTTTTGGTGGTGGAGAATGGGCACTGGTGGAGTGATGGGTACTCGATCATTGTATAACTGAAACCTAAGCACAAAAATGTGTAAGTCCAGAACTGTTCCTCATGGTGTTTCACTAATAATAATTTTTTTAAAAATTAAACACAGACTCAAAGTCAAAAGGTTAGATAACAATTCTTCAAGCAAACAAATAGGCCAGGTGGCCACACTAGTATCTGGTGACAGATTTTAGGCTGAAAAAGGTCTTAAGAGACAGCGACGGTCATTTCTTAATAATCAAGTAATATGTATATCAGGGAGAAATTACCCTCTAAACATAGGCAATCAGTGAGTGACCAGCAAAATACTTAAAAGAACTGCTAATAGATTTCAAGGAGGACACTGATAGCAACATTAATAGTAGTTGGAGACTACTATCAACACTACTTTATCACCTCTTGATCAATAGGAGATAAATACTAAATATAAAACATGCAAGGAAGTGCTGGCTTTCAAGGAAGAAATGGAAAAGGGGGGTAAGTTGATATATATAGGACTTTTTTGATCCCAAAAAGACAAGTACACATTCTTCTCCAGTGCAAATGTGATATTCTCTAAGATAGACCACATGCTGGGACACAAAATATACCTCCAGAAAATCAAGAGAATAGAAATCAGATCAACTATCTTCTCAGACTATGAGGCACTGAAAATAGGGTTAATCACATGA